AGAAGAAGAAGAAGAAGAAGAAGAAGAAGAAGAAGAAGAAGAAGAAGAAGAAGAAGAAGAAGAAGAAGAAGAAGAAGAAGAAGAAGAAGAAGAAGAAGAAGAAGAAGAAGAAGAAGAAGAAGAAGAAGAAGAAGAAGAAGAAGAAGAAGAAGAAGAAGAAGAAGAAGAAGAAGAAGAAGAAAGGCCTCAGGAAGAAGCACGGAAGGGCCAAACAAAAATCCACAACCAATCGCCAACATGCATCCACAGCATGAAAACTGCTGCAAATTGTCACCTCAGAACATTCAGACAGGAACACTTACCCCATAACATATACCCCTCACCATTGTACCTCGCAACCTGGTGGAGGTAGGGCCCCTATCTGGACTCAAGCATGGGTTGGACATGCATAAGAGTGGGACTGGATGGGTATAAATAGGAGCTGCCTCATTATGGCCCAATAGGCCTGCTGCAGTCACCTATGCTCTGATATTTGTATATTCGTTTCCAAAAACACCAACCAGCGCCTGGCTGAAGGAGAAGCCAGACCGTATAAACTCACCTGCAGAACATAGGCACAAACGTGTCACGACACAACGTAGCCGAGAAAATTCCGGGAGCACCGCCAGTGGAAGAAGGCAGAGCCGCACATGCAGGAGAAGAGTAGGGTAGAGGCAAAGGAGCCACTACCCATATGCAGGGAAAACCCAGCGTTCTCCCCATAGCAGCAATCCAGAACACCCCCAGGAGCTTTGGGACATGGACTGGAGAATTGAGAAGGGCGAGAGGCGAAGCATCCGAGAGAAAAAGGGAATGCAAAACCCCAGCTCACGTGCACACCGCCCGTATCAAAACAATCAACCACGGCGCACACGCAGCAGGGATGCCAGATGTGGGTCGCCAGAAGTCGCGAGCTGAAGAAAGAAACCACGAATGTGACTAGGAAAAGAGAGAAAACAGTGTTGTGAACGACCGAATCCCACATGAGAGTACACAGGGCAGCCGCCAACCGTAGTCGAAAAGAGCTGGAAGGAGCGAAAAGAAACATAGCACAGCTTCCCATTTGGGCTACAAAGAGCTCAATAAGGCTACAATGAGCTCATTCTGGCAACTCTGTGCAGTGCAGGACAGTGCACGGAGAGGAGAGACAAACACAAAAGAACAAAACAGGACCGAAAACCGAGAAGCTTGGAGAAGGACCAACAAGCCCCAGAAAGGATCGAAGATGACAGACATTCCAAGAATACGGGAAGAATCAAAACCTTCCCGATTCTTCTAGAATAAAGAAGCAAGTGTGAAGCAAGAAGGCACAGAAAACAAAGTCACACCCGAGACCAAAAGTCATGCAGATCCCCGAGAAGAAGGGAACATGACTGTGAAGGCCCATCCCAAGAAGAAGGGTGGAGAAACGTACCCACCGACAGGATGGACCCAACGGATCCAAGGGACAAGGAACTGATCCCCGGGAGGGTCCGACTCCCAAAAACATGTACGGAGAGGGGGGGGGGACCCACTCCTCGTAACCACAAGCCCCACCCAGAGGCTAGAAAAACCCAGGCGAGGTTAAATGTCAGCCCCTCACCAGCCCCGGGAACCCACAAGGCAGGTCCCGGGGCCCCGGGTCCCCAAAGCCCAAGCCTCACAAGAATGAGGCCCAAGGCCCCCAAGTCAGCTCCTCCCCAACCCTGGGAACCTCCACATCAGGCCCCGGGGGCCGAGTCATCCTCCAAAGAAAAAGCCAGGGAAGCCGAAATAGCAGGAAGAGAGGGTGGGGCTCCACTGGTCAGACCCCGGAGCTATGGTTGGTGGAAGAAATTTGAATGCCTCCATCACCACTCTCCAGAAAGGGGGAACCACCGAAACCACCCGAGTCTCGGAAACCTTGAAACCCTCTCCCGGCCTGAAGCCCTCAACACCCTGAAGTCCGGATCCCTAAAAGCAAAACGGGGCAGCCTCAGGGCATCCGGGGAAGCAACCAACCTAGCACGTTGCAGCAACCTAAACCGAGCCTGCAATGCGCGAGCCGTCTGCACCCGAATAACATCATCAATAGACTGGGTGAATTGAGTCATACAAGCAACAATGCTCGCAGGACTCAGGGTCTAAGGTATCACCAACCCAACAGGCAGCATGACAGAGGCAAAAACAATGAGTGTTTTTGCAACCCTCAAACCCAGAGCAACCCAGAGCAACCCTCAAACTCACACCCAGCAAGAGGGGACTTAGGGGTCGCATCCATTGGACCTGAGTGTCCCCACGGGGTTTCCCAGGGGCCCCCTAGACTGTTTCTGCTAAGGGTAAGCCCAGGAAGGGTACTGCTAACTGGCACACAGAGCTACCAAACAAACTGCTAATGCTGAACCCCTGGGACGTGTCCACACACGAGAGCGAGTGCGAGAGCAGGGGGTAATACCAAACAGAAAGCAAACCCTAGTATAACAGAGGAAGAGGCATACCAAGGCAGATCCCGCCCCCCCCTCACCAGGCAAAAATATAAAGAAAAGAAAAACCTTGCAAGAGAACAGCGTACCCAGAAGGAACAGAGCCGGCAGCTGTTATAAGTGAAAACTAGCTGTGCAGAACCCCACACCCTACCAGTGCAAAACTACCACTTACCCCATGGTAGACAAGAGTGGAAACCCCCCAAAACACTCAGGGCAGTCAATTGCCAAGCAGCAAAAAGACCAACAGAGGTAGACCCAAGGTGACTTGTGGAAGATAACCCCAAGCCCCTAGGGTGGTACTTACAGGGCACTCAGAGAAAGTGACCCTAAGCACATGAAGCCCAAGTACTGTACCTGTGAATATTACTCCCAGCTCACACGCCACCGTAAGAACAGTACTGAACCAGAGGAAAGCACAACACAAGAGTCTGGAGCTGGAGCCACAATTCCATGCCGTACTACACCAGCCAAAGAACTAGGGTGTGGATCGCAGATGCGGGGGTCTGGGGCTCCCCCCCACCCTCCAGCTGTGCAGACATGTGGCGCGGCTCGTGTGACATCATGCTCATTTGCTAGTTTTCATTTGGAGAGTTCTGTCCACTTGTTTGTCTTTTTTTGTTGTGTTCAACCAGAATAGGGGTTGCTTTGGGGCGCTTACCTTTCTGAGTGCCTGTCCCGGTCGATGGCAGATATAGAATGCTCCAAATCACATGTGCATTACTATAGGCCATTGCTCCTCATTCCTCTCTGAGGGGGGCCAAGTTCTGGCTCGTGGTCCCCAGTAGACCTAGAACTCCCATCCTCATCGACTGGGGCCAAAGTTAGGGATATTCATATCAGCCTGGATAACTCCGGGGAGCCGAAGGAGCTCCCCCAGAAAGTGGACGAAAAAAAGATGACCAGTGGGAGGAAGGGAGGGACGGTGCCAAGGAGCTTCCAGGGCTCACCCAGAAAACTCACGTATGAAAATATTCATGTCTGTCATCAACCAGGGTTCAGCACCCAGAAAACCAGCATTGAATGTAATGAAACGCCATTTTCTGGGCGAGACCTGAAGGCTCCCCGGAGCTAACCGGGCTGATATGAATTTATTAGACCTTGGCATCAATCAGTCAATGCCCATGGAGTTTTAGGCCTACTGGGGACCACGAGTCAGAACCTGGCCCCCTCAAAGAGGCATGAGGAGCAATGGCCTATATAAATCCCCCTGTGTGGTTGGAAGCATTTTATGTCTGCCCTCAACTGGGTCAGAAAGGTAAGCGCCACAAAACAAACCCCTATTCTGGTTAAAATATTGCTACTGAAAGCCAAAACAGTGGACAGATCCCACAATTGAAAATGACCAAACAAGAATAACGTCACCACGTCACCGTGGCGCTGTGCGCAACTCCACCCTCCCCAGGAGGAAAAAGAGGGAGCCCCAGACCCCCGCGAAGCTACCCACACCCCAATTCTGTGGCTGATGTGAACTGGCAAGGTCATGCGCCTCTGGCTCTTGTTTTTCCAGTTCTGTGCCTTGTGATATTGTAAGTGATGGTGCACGAGCCAGGAGGTATTTCACAAGTACTTGAGCTGCACACACCTAGGGTCCCCTTCCCTAGATGCCTTGTAAGTACTGACCTTGGGGCCACCTTCCACAAGTCACCTTGGGGTCTGAGATTTGTACCCACTGAGGCAGCCGTGGTCTTTTGCTGCTCAGTGATTGACCGCCCTTGGAGTCAGCTGGGTGTTCCATGCACCACTGTTTACATCTGGGTAGGGGTAGTTTCGTCACTGGTTGGGGCACAGTACTGTGCAGCTAGTTTTCACCTCTCATAGCGGCCGTCTCTGTTCCACCTGGGCACGTTGTACTCTTCTGTTTTTTGGGGGTTTTTTCCTGCCTGATGGGGGGTCCTGCCCCTTGGTTTTGGTCACATCCATTTATATCTTGGTGGTCCTCCACTAGGCCCCCGTGAGTGTACACGTCCCGGGGGTTCAGCTTTAGCAGTTTGATTGGTAACTTTGGGTGCCGGTTAGCAGTACTCTGCCTGGGCTAATACAGTACTGTATTTAAAATACCACATTGACAAATTTTTTTACAGAAAACTATACTGCCAAACTATTTTCTAAAACATAATAAATGAAGATCATATGCTCTTCTGGGACCATAATAACACTAAATGAACTAAATGGTGATATTTTACATTTTTAAAGTTCATTTGAAAATCTGAAATTTTCAAATTATAAAAATAATTTTGTTTGTTTTTCTCATTAAGTGGGTGATCTATTTGGAAAAGTTGGCGAATTTACCATGTAGATTATGTAAAAAATAATTGAAGGCGTTTGAGGAGGTTTGAGAAACACATTTCACAGCCCCTTAAAATATAGGCCAGCTATATTATCCCCTCTACTACACCTTACTTTGCTCCTCAGCTCTCTCTTGCCTATTTATTGCCTGTCTCTACTTCTTCATCACAATCGACTTGAGAACGGTCCAGGACGGACCGAAACGTCGTCGTCCCTTCACCCTCTAGTGTGTGGTCTGGTCAACATAGGCCAGCTCCTAATTTTTTTTTTATAAAGGCATAATATAATTACCCTGACTCTCAGAATCCTGTGAAACTTGATCTTCAAACTCTGCTCTTTTCTTCTCCACCTCCTGCAATTCACTTTCCAGCTCTCTGATATCATCCATATGTGCGTTGTGTGCCTTGATGGCTTGTGCAAGGGACTTGCGTGCAGAGTCAGCCTTCTTCTGCATGTGTGTTACTCTTTCCTTGGCTTTAATGAATGTTGGCCGCTTCTTGTTCACGTCCGTTTCCTGTCAAAGGAGTGTGTAGTAGTATTAGAAAACTGCAAAACGGCCACTAATTCAAAATAATTTTGAATTAGTGGTAGTTTAGACTGAGAATTAGTTTAGAATGAGGCAGTCTAAACCAGTTAGGCTGAGAAGAAACATCTAGCATTCAGTGTATGTATAAAGCAAGTATCTAAACAATACACTATTGCTACCTAAGACAATATCTTAATGACCTTGAGAATGAGTCCACCACAGGTTGACACCTACACACCAGTCAATATGTTCCCTACTGACTCATACTGCTGCTGCTGGGGAGAAAGATGAGAATTTTTTAACTTAGCCCAGACTGTACACAGAAAAGTGCTTTACATGACCTCAATAGCTTTTCCCAGGAGTAACATGGCAACACAGAGATCACCTAGATGTTCCCCCTTGACTAACTACCAAACAATCTACGAGATCGATACATTGCAGTGCCACTAGGTGAAAAAATCCAATATTATAACAAAGCCCTCCATACCAAACTAACACATCAACCGACATAAAAGCATTAGAATTAGGGAGCATCACAGCAAGCCCAATGCCCATAAATCTACCTCATCTCACCCATATATAATGTACTAATCAAATTTATTCTTGAAACCTGTTAAACTGCGTCTCAATAATGCTTCTCGGCAGCTCATTCCACTCATCTACAACCTCTTTGCAAACAAGCATGTCACTTTATCTCTCCTAAAACTAAATTTGTCCAGATTGTTCCCATTGTTGTGGGTTCTGACCTGTTCTGGTAGTTATTGTACCCATTGTTGTGGGTTCTGATCTGTTCTGGCAGTTAATGTTCCCATTATTGTGGGTTCTGATTTGTTCTGGCAGTTATTGTACCCATTGTTGTGGGTTCTGACCTGTTCTGGCAGTTATTGTACCCATTGTTGTGGGTTCTGATCTGTTCTGGCAGTTATTGTACCCATTGTTGTGGGTTCTGACCTGTTCTGGCAGTTATTGTACCCATTGTTGTGGGTTCTGATCTGTTCTGGCAGTTATTGTACCCATTGTTGTGGGTTCTGACCTGTTCTGGCAGTTATTGTACCCATTGTTGTGGGTTCTGACCTGTTCTGGCAGTTATTTTACCCATTGTTGTGGGTTCTGGCAGTTATTGTATCCATTGTTGTGGGTTCTGGCCTGTTGTGACAGTTATTGTACCCACTGCTGTGCTTTCTGACCACTCTGACAGTTTCAGAAACCTTATTATATCCACATTTTCATGCCTCTAACTCACTTGTATATTTTTATCATATCCCACTTTGCCTTTGCTGACCAACCAGATGATCCAGTCTCCCAGACAGCCAGTTAGCATTAGTTTACCAGCCAGCCAGCTAGGCAAGTCAGTGAGCCAGAGTCAGATGAGCCATCCACTGAGCCAACCACTGAGCCAGCTACTGAGCCCACCACTGAGGCAGCCACTGAGCCAGCCACTGAGCCAGCCACTCAGCCAGCTACTGAGCCTGACACTGAGCCTGCCACTGAGCCTGCCACTGAGCCAGCCACTGAGCCCACCACTGAGGCAGCCACTGAGCCTGCCACTGAGCCCCACCACTGAGCCAGGCACTGAGCCAGCTACTGAGCCCACCACTGAGGCAGCCACTGAGCCTGCCACTGAGCCAGTCATGCACTATACACTGCTATCACAAACCACTGACCTTTTATTAAGCCCTATCTTGAGGTTATCTTGAGATGATTTTAGGGCTTAGTGTCTCCGCGCTAAAACGCTAAGTTATTGCGTCTTAGGTCTAACTCGACCAGGCCTCCTTTTTGTTACACATGCCCAGGAAGTCGCCTATAGCAGCTGTCTAGCTCCCAGGTACCTATTTAGTGCTAGGCAAACAGAGCATCAAGGTAAAAGAAACTCTGCCTCTTTGTTTCCGCCTCCGCCGGGAATCGAACCCGGAACCTTAGGACTACAAATCCCAAGCGCTGTCCACTCAGCCGTCAGGTCAGGCTATACTCATAGCAAAGACACCTTTGCTGCACAAGCATTCTATTTATATTTTGGTCGATTTAGAGCCCTATCACAAACATTATTAGATACAAAACATAGGGAATCAAGTTCCATGAAAAATAAAATCACTAAGAATGATAATTGTTGAAAATAGTGGATGTAATGTGATGCAGTGAGTCATTGATCATGTTTGTTGTTGGTTTAGTCATACAAGATATTTCACTTGAAACCCATAACAAAATAAAAACATACATTGCATCAATACAACAAATACTGAAATGTCAACATTTGACTAAAAAATAGATCCAGAAATTGAATACACAACTGTTCCAGCTTTCTGTAACCCTAAACCACTGTGGTGGGTTTCATTTATTGGGACATTTTCCCTGTGCACTGAAAATCAAGTGTTCGCAAAACATTTTGATCTTGGTAAAATGATAAATTCCCTTCCCTGAACACGTACATGTAAAAAACCAGCGATGAATGTAATGAAACGCCATATTGGGGCGAGTCCTGGAGGCTTCCCGAAGCTATCCTGGCTGATATGAATGTATCAGATCCTGGCATCAGTCAATGAACGTGGAGTTTTAGGCCTATCGGGGATCACGAGCCAGAACCTGGCCCCATCAGAGGTGGACGAGGAGCAATTTCCTATATAAATACCCATCTTGAGGTTATCTTGAGATGATTTCGGGGCTTTAGTGTCCCCGCGGCCCGGTCTTCAACCAGGCCTCCACCCCCAGGAAGCAGCCTGTGACAGCTGACTAACACCCAGGTACCTATTTTACTGCTAGGTAACAGGGGCATAGGGTGAAAGAAACTCTGCCCATTGTTTCTCGCCGGCGCCCGGGATCGAACCCGGGACCACAGGATCACAAGTCCAGTGTGCTGTCCGCTCGGCCGACCGCCTCCTCGTGGTTGGAAGCATTCTATGTCTGCCATCAACTGGGTCAGGAACCCAGAAAGGTAAGCACCCCAAAACAAACACCTATTCTGGTTAAAATATTGCTACTGAAAGCCAAATTAGTGGACAGAACTCTCCAAATAAAAACGAGCAAATGAACATGACGTCACCACGTTACCACTCCACTGTCTGCGCACCCCCCCCCCCCCTCCCTCTGGGAAAGTGAGGAGCCCCAAAACCCCGTGCTGGTTATCCACCCTGCAGTTCTGAGGTTGGATGTCAAAACCGCGAAAAACAACCGCCGACCAGAGGAAGGGAGGGCTGCTGGGGGAGCCTCAAGGAATCATACAGAAACTAGGGTTTCATTACATTCAACGCTGGTTTTCTGGGGAAAGCCCCTTCGGCTCCCTGGAGCTACTTACACAAAGACAAAATATCGGGGAGGAGGTCGGCCCTCGCCCCTCAACAAGAAATCGAGACAACTGGCTGCAACTGCTGACCCAATGCAACACAGGCCCAACTAGGCCCAGGAACATTGACAAGGTAGTGAACGACCAGGACCCTGTTCGACCTCTAAAAACCCCGTGCCCGAATGTTGTCCCAAGACATTTTACCGAAGACAGCAGCCAGCACAGAAAACTTACGAAAGTCATGGGCACGAGGATAGACCGCAGGCTGGCTAGACCTAATAACACTGCAGATGACCTGGAAGACCCAAACCCAGGAACAGGGACGGAAGGGACATCCCCGAAGGAACCAGAGCAGCCGACGAAGCCAAACCTGGCGGGTAGACCATCATCGCAAAGTTCAGGCTCCCGCACAGACCCTCGAGCAACCTCCGGGTGACCAGGGAGCCCCCCAGAAACCAGCCCATGCAGGACCACACAATGCCCAGCCAGGTCCGAACCTAGGAGGGAACCAGATGGGACTTCCGCCAGTTCACCAGGAACCCGAACCCGGGTAGCTGGGAAAGCGCCACACCCCTGGCAAGCAGACACGCTCCCAGTCAGTCTGACTGCGAGCCCAAACCAGCCAGTCTGACTGGGAGCCCAAATCAGCCAGTCGTCGAGGTAAGCCAACACCAGAACACCCAACAGATACAGACTGGTGGAACCGCGGGCCCTGGCACGACCCTTCTGGGAGGAACCCACCCTGGACCCCCAGAGAACCTAAAGGTCAGACATCAGGCAGCAGCTGGAAGAAGCCGCCTGCATATACTGTTAGACTACAGAAGCAGCAAACAGCAAGGAGCAAAATGGCGAAGACAACCTAAGAGCCAGGGCCCAAGCGGATTCCAAGGAGGAAGCAAGCACCACCTGCAGACACGCGAGGCATGAAGTGAAAAACCGTAACAGAGCATCCCGCAGGATCGGCGCAAACAGCTTCAAAAGGGGGAGATGACGTACAAGCAGCCGAGGTTAAGTCACTAGACCCAGGAACGGCCCCAAGCGCCTCTACATCCTCTGTAAGCCAATCCGAAAACAGCTCAAGGAGTGAAAAGAAGCACAGAACCGAAGCCAACGAGCACCACGTGTGCTCGTTGCCACATGCGCTGCAAACAAGGAGGTTCCCTCCCTGCACGTGAAGCTGAACTGCGCTGACATCTCACAGAAGAGCCGGAGCGAAAAGGCACTCATTAAGGTGTGCAAAGTCACCCCCAGGTAAGCCTGGACCACAGTCAACGCCTCGCGCCACTCCAGCGTGCGGGTACGACAGAAGGTGTCCCAAGCATCCAGCGAAAACAAAGGGCAGTCCGCTAGCCAGGATGACTCCAGAACCTCATAACGAACCCAGTATGGAGACGAAGAACCAAACCTGAAGGAAGACGGATTCATAACAGAGGCATAACCTGGGTCGCGCAGGAGATAAGTCGCAATGGCAGCCCGCACCTCAGGTGAAGAGATGCGGGAAACTGAAAACCTCCAGAAGGACGGAACCGATGGACCCGCAGGGACACGGTTCCAAGCTACCAACCAACACTACTAAAGCTGAATCCACGGGACGTATCCACTCACGAGGGCGAAGTGGGGGTACCACCAACACAAACAACCCTAATATAGATTGGGAGGGACACCAAGGCAGATGCCCCGCCAGGCAAAAAGAAAAAGAAAAGAAAAACCT